TCATCTCCCTTGTCCTCTAGTAAGCCATTGACTGTTATTTTGAATTTGCAATGTTTTTGCCAAGCCAATACTTAGAAACTTTCTTGTGCATCCATGCTGTTTACTGGTTAAAACATTCATTTAGGAAATTTATGAGAGTCATTGGTAATATCCCAGTGTCCATCTTCCTCTTTAAAAAGATGGAAATGTGTTTGCCTTTTATATGTTATCTATCTTCTGTGTGTTCTCAATCAAGTATTCTACTAGGCTTTTTTCAAATTAGTTGCTGCTTCTCATGATATTTAGCTGAATATTCCTACAACTAGCTGAAACAGTGTAATTTATCTGCAATACTCCTTTGCTTCATTGTCTTTTCACCAACAATTCAGATGACAAAACCCCCCCTGCACTAAACAGTACTGTTTTAACATTGTTTTCACAGTTTTCCAAGCTTGTTAGTTCTGTCTCCCAGAAATACCCCTCAGTCATTTCTTCTGTTTCTGATTTATCATAGAATGGGTTGGGTTGGAAGGGATCTTCAAGATCATCTGGTTCCAACCCCCCTGCCCTGGGCAGGGACACCCTCCACTAGACCAGGTTGCCCAAAGCCCCATCCAACCTGGCCTTGAACATTTCCAGGGATGGGGCATCCACAGCTTCTCTGGGCAACCTGTTCCAGTACCTCACCATCCTCATAGTAATGAATTTCTTCCTAACATCTAACCTAAACCTACCCTCCTTCAGCTTAAGGCCATTACCCCTTGTCCTATCGCTCCATGCCCTTGTAAACAGACCCTCTCCAGCTTTTGAAGCTAGCTGTACCCAATCTTTATTTTGTTGGCTTACTTTACACCTTGGGTCTTTTTCCTCATGATTTTTATAGTGTCATTGTGAACTCCATCTTTTTAAGGTCCCTCTCTTAGAAGATACTTTCATCCTTTCAAATCTCAGCAAATTAATGTCTTATTAATTAGAAAGTTAGAGCTCAGAGTCATTGTAGGTGTTTTCATCACCTGCCACAGTCAGCACATATCAAGAGCCATCCAGACCAATTCTTTCGCAGATAGCCCCAAAGTTACTCTCCTCTTTTACAATGAAGTCCTTTGCTTTGTGGATGACTCTACATGCTCGTGAATGTTCTTCCCACTTGATTCTCCTGATTTTAAGGCATAAAACAGACCCCTCTGAATTTTGTCTCCCTCTTATCACTACCTAGGTTTATGACAGGTTATTGACCTCAGAACCAATATATGTAAGGCACCCCTCCCTGTTCCCTTCCTCTCTTGACAGCCCTCCCTAAAGGATAGTTACACACATTGCGTTACTCCAGTCAAGCAAAGTACCTCACCAAATCTAACAGGCCAACTAAGTCATGAGTTCCATAAACACGGTTTTGGCCAGTAAAATTTCCTCATCCCCAATAGCATGGTCCTAGACCTGTTCAGAACTCAAAAGTTTGGTACTGATCCCAACAAAACCCACAAGTCCCTTTATCTATGACAAGGACTCAATAGCATAAGCATTCTTAGGACACACCGACTAGCTTAGAGCCCAAATAAAATTTTTGATACGAGATTCAGCGTTGTTATATTCAGAGACCATTAACTGGACCCGATTATGTCTTACCCATGACTCCATAGCTAAATGGTAGGAACATTTATTGGAAAAAAAAGGACTGTTCAGTGTGTATTTTGGGAGTTTGTTGTTGTTTTGGGGGGATTTTTTTTTTTAATCTTAGGGCTAGGTATATAATTATCACTTGCTCTTGAAGAAGTTCTGCAGGAGCTATCAGGATATTCCTTCAGCAAAATATGCTACAAGGCTAAAAAGTGCTGTAATATAGAAGGTAATAGGGAGGAAACTGAACCAGATTCTCCTACAGTCTTATAAATGGGAGGTATTCAAAGATGTGTGTCTGCACAGCACATATATTATTCAAGCTTGTGTGATGTAAACCAGAATGTTTTACTATTACCTGTGGTCGACATTTGTATTTTCACAGCCATTATTTATGCAAAAATATTGGAGGTACCTCAGAACACAACTCAAACTTTGTATTAGATAACAGTGAGTTAAACGGTAACTGTAATTTTTATCATAACTCAGTAAAAGGAAGCACAGAAGTTTCATTTTAAAAAAAATCCCTTACAAATATTGATCTCTACTAATCAGTCAATTCCATAGCCTCTGTTCAAGTTAAAACTCTCCCATGCATGTATGTGTGGGGTGTTCAGGAAGAATGCTTCTCCTAAACCGTTCTAATTCTAGGTATTTTATATTGATTTTGTTTAATGCTCATGAAAATAAATAATATCACTCTTAAAAAGAAAAAAAGTTTGCACACAGACGACGTACTTGTGTGACATTTGCACCCTTCCTGCACACGATATAGTCATCTTTACTGATGAAGGTTTACTTCATAATCAACATATTAAAATCATTTTAATGCTTTAAAAAACCTCTTTTACAGATAGACTTAATTACAATAATAAATTTAGATAAATGTTCTCAAGACAAAAAGCCAATTACCTTCAGATGCACACTAACAGCTCTTAGAAAAGCCCAGAATGTGTACACATCCTCTTCAGACACCCTAGATACAGGAGGGCTAGTTAACCCAGCCTTCCTGAGTTTAGGTTGCAATTAGGGTCCTCAAGCCCCCTAGGAAGAGCTTAATTGCAAACCTAATTGGAATCTAGACCGCTGAGACAGTTGTTGGCCCTTTCTACTTCTTAGTGGCTTATAATTTTGAAGCTATGAAAATGCCACCAAAATTATGTGACCTGAGCAAGGGAAGCAGTTAGTTTTCCTCTCTACTCAGTACCAAAGGTTTTTTCCAAGCCTCACAGCTACCATAAACTATGGAACCACTGTAAACTTGTCTTATACCAGACACTTACTACTTTCTTAAATGGATAAGTAGTTGAAGCAAAGATGAGAATAAACATGCTCATGGAGCACTAAGCATGCAGAAAGGAGATCTGAAAAAGGCTGGAAGGACCTTTAGACTCTTGCTGTCACAAATAACTGCATTATACTGTTTGTTCATTCACTATGTCCTACTGCATGATGGAATTAGATTCTGCTTACTCCTAGTATAAGGTAATTCAGAATCTGTCCTGACTTATAGTCTAAGTTTATTAATCTTTTTGATGACTCTCTTTGCAAGGGCTGGCACAAACTCAGAAACTTCCCAGACTCCAGAAAAGATTTGGAGCCACTTCAGTGCTGTTAACAGAAGAGCAGGACCCAAGATGTCTAGAAAGCGCCTGGAAAAGTCACAAATTTGATTCTCTTGTGCAAGCAGCAGACATCAACTTACTGACACCGGGAAAAGAAGCTGCAATAACAATTAATTTAAAGGAGGATGAGAGGAGAAACAAGTGCGGAAGAAGGAAAGGAAGGAACTCTGATTTTGTTCAACAAAAAGGTTAGCTTTAGTTTTAGCAAGAAAAAGGTTAACTTTCGCATACATGAATTAGTGTTTCAAACTTGTAATTGAGGAGTATACAATCGCACAGCACAAGCTGGGTGCAACTCTTTAGATGAAAATGAAAAAAATTCCCTCCTAATGTAGTTACTACAACAGCTGAGTATGTGGAAGAGGAGACTGAAGAGGAAAAGAAAATTTAAGATGCAACTTATAACTATCCAGACAACATCTCTGGGCTGGCCGCACAACTAAATTATTTTAGACTAGAATAGGATGGACTATTTTCATTTGGAAGGGACCGACAGTGATCACCTAGTCCAACTGCCTGACCAATGCAGGGCTGACCAAAAGTTAAAGTGTGTTGTTAAGGGCATCATCCAAACGCTTCTTAAACACAGACAGGCTTGGGGCATTGACCACCTCTCTAGGAAGCCTGTTCCAGTGCTTGACGACCACCCCCTTGGTAAAGAAATGCTTCCTAACGTCCAGTCTGAACCTCACTGGCGCAGCTTTGAACCATTCCCACGTGTCCTGTCACCAGACACCAGGGAGAAGAGCTCAGCACCTCCCTCTCCACTTCCCTCCTCGGGAAGCTGCAGAGAGCCATGAGGTCACCCCTCAGCCTCCTCTTCTCCAAACTAGACAAACTCAAAGTCCTTAGCCACTCCTCACAGAACATTCCTTCCAGCTCTTTCACCAGCTTTGTTGCTCTCCCCTGGATGCATTCAAGGGCCTAATTTTGCTGGTCACATATTTCTTCTCTAAAGCAGAGGGAGCTCACAAGAACAACGTGGATATTTTTGGCTGGAAGGGATTTTTGCTCTTGATCATTACTTAACCTATGGCTACTATGACCTGAAAGAAAACTCTGAGCTTAACCCGTAGTTATAGTCAGGCCTCCTTACAGTACTGTGGTAGTGATGGATATTTTGCATCCATGTTTTATTTTTTTTTGTGTCTACACTGACAACAGAACATTTTCATTTCCAGACAATTAAGCCTCTCCACAAACCTTTCTTTCCAGAGGTTTACATCCAATAATTCAACTCCAAATTCTTCCACTTGGAAATAACAATAATTCATATTGCAAAGACTGATTTCAGATCTTCCTCTTCAAAATTTTAAAATAGGTTTGAACTAAAATCAGTAATATCTCATTACTCAAGCTTTATGCACATTTTAACGTATTTTATGTAAATCAGATAAGCTAAAAACCTAAAGTAAACAGATTTTAAAGTCACATGACTGTACACATGCATATATTTCTAAGGGTATGCAAGATGACACCATAATGCCTGAAGATGGTTCATTTTTCACAGAATCACAGAACAATTGAGGTTCAAAGGGAACTCTGGAGGTCATTACGTCCAACTCGCCCTGCTCAAGCTGGGCCGCCTACAGCAAGTTACCCAGGACCGCGTCCAGATGTCTTTTAAAGACCTCCAAGGATGGAGACTCTACAACCTTCCTGGGCAACCTGTGCACCCTTAGAGTAAAAAAGTTTTTCCTTCTGTTTAGATGGAACCTCCAGTGTTTCTACAAAACTGTATTTTTCTAGAGAACTATACAAACATTTAAATTGAACTGTCACATGACAAATTGCTGGTTATCAGCTGCCAGCTACAAATTCCATAATTTTACATATCCACATACCTCTTCAAGCTCTCCTGAAGAAACAGGATTATCCTCATACATGGGGAAATGGCACCCTGCTTTACAACTGCAAAACCTGCTAGTCTCCTCACGTGGCTCCACTATTCTGCAGTTTACTTTAGAGCTCTCCATCACCCTCCCATCTAGAGATTCTTTCATACTGCATTCTAAACAGGGATCTTGGTTTCCTACTGGCAACATCCCAGCCGACTCTTCTTGGGAATCCAATGATGTTTGTGCACTCTTCTCCATTCCAGACTTTTTTAATCTGGGAAGGAATTTTCCAGATTCAAGCTCTGATTTTCCATAATAATGCCCTTCTTTTTCTGCATCTTCTTCCAGAGGTTTGAGATCTGCTTGTGGATCCTCAAATACATCTACTTGAGAAGGGACAGCAATACCTCCCTCATCTTTTTCTGACTCAAATTCTGACTCACTTCCACCACCTGGAGAAAGTTCAGATGCAGAAATTGGGCGAAAGTGAGTCCTTGGAGAAATCCGTATAGCCCTGTACTGCGTTCGATCAACACCACATATCCTGGGGTGTAAAACCTCACTGTCTGAATCAGAGCACAGAATTGACTTAGGTTTAAAACTAGGGCTGAAAGATGCAATTCCTTCTGGCTCAAACGAACACTCTACATGAAGAACTTGTGAAAATGGATTGTTCAGGTCAAAGGAGGAGAATGAGTATTCAAGCCCCGGTTCTTCAACTTGAAAGTTACCACAAGCTCCCAGTAAGTCTTCATGGAAGATAAAAGAAAAACCCTTATTTAATCCATTATCTCCACTCTTTGATTGCTCATTCTGTTCAAATGATACAAATGGCCTCCATAATTGCCTATGACCAGGGGCAAAGCTATTACCTGGAGTCATAAAAACATCTGTACCAGCTATGGTCACCACATCGGAAGCTGCACATTGCAATAAGCTCCCCTTTGAGTGACTAGGTGGCACCACTGCCCATTCTCCATCACTGTTAAATGTTTTGAGCTCCCCATACACACCACCAAGTATGAATGAGTTTTCTTTATCCTGGTTAACATCCCAAGGTTTTGATGGTGTAGTATAGTCACCACCATCTACTTTTGACAAATCATTTGAGACAAAGGCTCTCTTCTCTAAATTCTCCTTTTGACCTTCCCAAAGATGGTACTCTGATCTCTGCACTGCTTTATTGGGCTCCTGGAGGGTTTCAACTTTTGCTTCTGTATCCAAACAGCAGCAATAGTTATTTACATCAGTTGAAAACAATTCATCTTCTATTCCTTCTATTTCTACCATCGCTGCAGAATTTCTGTCTGTCATATTTGTCCAAATATCTTTAATAACCCCTGAGCTGTAGCCATCTCCATGCGGACTGCTTTCACTACATCCTTGTGTAGTTTCATAGTCTTTACTTTCTGCTTTTTGTTCTAGCTGAATACCACAGACAGATTCTAGCTTAGATTTTTTTTTGAAAATCAAAGTGGGCATTTCTCCTAAAGTTCTAGCTTGTTGCTGGCAGGTTTCTTCTGGCAAAAAATCTAGGATTTCTTCATCTACATAACTTGAAGACACCCTAGGAACTACATAATTAATATCCTCTGCATTAAATTGCGTGGATTCTTCATATGGAATATTTAAAGTCTCATTGTCTGAACGTGTTTCTTCCGAGTGTGACCATGGACTACAGGTTCTCGTTGAAAGATTCGAACAGTGTTCATTTTCATCAAAGGCACTATTTTTGGTCCATATTAGCAATCTAGACTGTGTTTTCCCAAGAATATTAGCAGTGCTACTAGAATCTGCATTTTCATTTCCCAAGTTGAGTGTTTCAAAAGAAAATGGTAAAACAGAGTTACTGCATTGCACTTCAAACACTGAAAAACAAGAGTTTATACCAGACCCTTCATTAATATCTGAAAAGAGCTCTTGATTGCCAGCAAGCATGTGTGAATTAAGCATTGTGCTGTCTAAGATGGGGGAGAATCTGATTGGAGAATCTCCTCCAAAACTTTCCCCATCCGCATCACCAGAACTAGAAGATGAACAGCACTCCCAAAATTGAGCTAAATTACTAAGGTCTTGCAAGAACCACCCTTCAGCACCAACAGAGCTGGTCGAATCTGTCCATATTGCACTTTCCCCTTGCAACTCCATTCCATCTAACACTATGCAACATTCTGCCTCAAAATCAGTTTTTTCTTTACTCTTTTGTCGAATCATATTTAAAATCCGACTCTCCCCTTGCATCGCATCTGAGGCACCAGGATCCAACATGGATTGATCAATATCCACTTCATAGAAGTGTGTTAGTTCTGACAGATGAACATCATCTAAATATTTGTCGTCCTCTGGTTGAGAACATATTGAGGTCCCAGCGAGGTCAATATCCTCATTTAGAACTGCAGGCATTTCTACAAAGTGACCATCGATGAAAGTACCTGCTGCGAGGTATGTTTTATGAATATTATTGTTGCTAATACAAAGACCATGCACTGATTCAGACAACTCTTCTACAGCCTCTGATGTTACGCCACATATATCTTCTCTGTTGCGGTATGTAGTCTCCAGCTTGCTTTTTCTGCTAAGAGGAACAAAGTACTCTGTAATCGGCTCAGTATACCACAAGGGTTTTCCTGCTGTCTAAATACAAATCTTTTCCATCGCTACCGCCAGCTTCTTTTCTTCCAATTTCTTTTAATGGCCTTTTACCTCTTTTGCACAGCTGTTTGACAGACCCGCTGCTACTGCTGCTACTGCTTCCGCTGTGGACTTTTCTGTCAGCCTTTTCACCAGATTTCACTGAAAGCCTGCTTTGCCCATTACGCCCTTTTTTATTTCGAACCTCTCTTGTTTTGTGTCTTACTTTAATACATTTCATTGATGCCTTGTATTCACCTTGATTACCACTAGAACTTGAGCCAGCCTCGCTGGATCCAGATGACCAGGAGCGAGGACGCATCTTTCCCTCAGACTTATGTCGGACTTGCTTTTTGTACAAAACAGGCTTCTCTTCAACTGTGTTGTTACTAAACTTGTTTTCTTTCTCATTTTTACTTTTCTTCTGCTGGGTTCTTTCCTGTACAGTGGCAGATACTTTATTACTTCTGTCTTTAGTTACTTCACTTTCACTGTTGCAGTCCTTTGGAGAAGATGTATCCGTGCTAGTTGGTGGAGCAGTGGATGAAGATGAGGAGCTAGAGTAAGAGCATACTTTAGATTTATTCCATACAGTCATGATTTCCTGCAGGCAGACTGGCTTTTCAGAAAGAGGAGGAAATGCTTCATAGTACCTGAAAGCAAAGCAAAAAGCTGACGTTCAGATCGCAGAACTTCAGGCAGGCATTAAGATTAGAAAGTATTACCAAAAACACAGCAAAATGCTACCAATCTAATTGCCACAAAATCTAGTTTGTTCTACATTTGCACATGCCACTCATTGCCACTCATTGTTTATTTGAATGATAACAAAGGGGAGATTAAGATAAGCTTTTAAAGTGCTTATATTGATATATATTTTAAAATATACTGCCAAGTAAAACAATCTGATTTTTAGCGAGTACTAAACTTCATTGTAGACAGAAATTGTGGATGCTTAAAACAGTGAAGGCCTGACTCCAGATTTACTGGATAATGTAGCAATTCACTACAGTCTTTTTAAACATGTTTGATTTTGATCATAAATCAGCAAGTCCTGAATTTCAATCAGTTCAGTCCTGAATTTCACAGGTTTTTTTTATTCTCCTTTGTGAAATAAGATACTATCTTTTCTACCTTTTAAGTTCTACATAGTTTGACCATCCATGTATTAAGGAAAAGCTATAGCAATTGCAGAAATCAAACATCACCAACACGGTTTTGCAAAGACAGTCAACAAACCCTGACTTCAAACAAAACATCTTAGTTATTGCAAAAAAGTGTAGTTCTACAGTAGTTTAAAATACTTAACAACTTTGTCCAACAGGGATAAGATGAAAATATGGTTTTCTGCAACATTTGACAGTAAAGATTTATGCAGAACTGCATATGAAATTGCAATGAAAACCTATTAAAAAATCTCCAGAAGCCACTAAAGTGCACATTAGCACAATCAGATCCTTGAAGAAGTATCATCCATTTAGCAACACTTAACACTAGACTGTTGCTAGCAATGGTTATTGCTAAGAGATGCAGAAGCACTCACATCTCCAAGAGAAGCCAGTGATAAAACTCATCAGTACATCAGTAACACCGGACTCAGGTACTTGATAACTAGTAGAATACTCTGGTTATAAAGAGTTTAAAGGTTATAAATAGTTTCAGTTTCCCACTTCTGCAAGAGAAGACAAAGAGTTCTGGAGACAGGAAACTGGTTCTTTCCCTTCAAGTCTAATGTGTCAAGGAATGCTGTTTTAAAAGACTTTTAATTTGTCTAGCTGACTTGGTCTTAAGGAAACTTGAGTTCCGCATATAGTCAGAAGAAAGTAGTCAGGACTTTGACAGAAATTGAACTAGCCCATGGTATCAAATGCTCATATTTAAATATGTAAGATGAACAAAAGAAGATGGCAAGAAAAAAAATATTATTTCTTAATATCCACAATCCCCACTAAGTTAACCCCACTGTTTTAAAATATGGGAGCAAAAGGAGAAAAGAGAAAAGCATCTCAGATAATAATAATAAAAAATGCATACATTTCTACTTGATCCTTTGCTGTGGGAGATAAATCAGTCTCGGGAGACAAAGAGCCTTCTAACTTTTTGTGAATCTTCTCCTCTGTTTTGGAAGAAAAATCCAAATGCTTAACAGAAAAATTCAAAAAGCCAGTGTATTTTATAACAGTATATAAAAAAAGCACCAGGATGTATACCTGTAGTAGTAGTAAATTTCCATAAAACATTGTAAATAACAGAACAATTTATAGTCTGGTTATCACACACAAAGAAATTACAAATTATCACCCAAGATTCAAGTTTGCACAGCCGTTTTGTTAAGCCCTACAAATTTCCCCAAAGATGACTGGCTAGCAGCTGCATGCACCTTCATGGTTAGCAATGCCCCTACTAGGAAACTTTCTATTGAATTTTTAGCTTTTTCATACTCAAATCTTTATCTCCTTCTTACATTGCTAGATATAAAAAAAGATTTTTAAAAGAATCAACTATTTAACTAAATATTTTTACAAATGATTGCATCAAATTTCTCATGTATTTCACTAAAAGGAAGTACCCCTGCAGTAGCTGCTGTGCTTTAGGTGGATGTAAAGTCAGATTTCCTGTGTGAGAGGTGGTTCTAAATATTTCTAATCCTTTGTATTAAAATCCATAAAATAAAAAAAAAAAGTTGAAATACACACTAATTTTACTTTTTTTTTTTTAATATATGGTCAGCATCATCTTGGCTCAGTAGGAAAGGGTCACAGCATATGAAATACTAAGAGCTGACTAGTAATTGCTGCTCAAAAAACAGAAAATGGGAATCAAAACAGCTAAAATCATGTTTTCAGCAGGTAAATATTTATCCTTTATTTATTATTATTTATACCACACCATAAACATATTAATTTTACTGTAAGTGCCAAAGGCTGTTACTATGTGCCTGAACAAACATTTACATGCAATGAACTTTCAGTGGAGACATCACAATTTTACATTATGCTCCAGGCCCTATGCTTGACAACATGAAGTCCCCATTATCATTCCCCTAAAGCCTAGAAATTTTAGGCACACCTTTCTGCCATGGCCACTTGGACGCTTCTCACAGGAATAGCCTGTGTACAACAATTTTGAAGGCCTATCTATTCTTTGCAAATATCAATATACAAAAGGAATAGAAACCAGCCTACTTTATGGTGATTTCCTTGGGGGGGG